AAGCAGCCCAGCAATTAAGAGAAAGGATGGGCAAATGAGACTACATGAAATTAAAAAGCTTTTTTTTTTATTTAACTTTTTGTATTTTATTCCTTATATCAATTAAGAACATAATAATTCCTTATATCAATTAAGAACATAAAATTTTCCCAAGTACTGATTTATAAATGTTTATAAGTGACACAAAAAGTTCAGTTTCAAAAGAGTAACATTCAGTGATCTCTTTAAATGCAATTTTGATCCTTAGTTTAAACTAGTACAACAATAATTTAATGCATAAGCTAATACACAAATCTTGCTTGCACCGACATCTGGTTTTAATCAAGCACACACTTTCACAATGAACTGGTACTTACAAGTATGTTAATAAACACCACCCCAGCTACTTACCCTGCCATCAGCTTTTTAAGCACCGCCATTTCTGCCATTGAAAGCATTTATTTTTAGAAGCTCTTATCTGGGAAAATGAGGTCTTCAAAAACTTAACTGATAGTAAATCAAGTCTTTCAACACAGAAGCACTGATATCAAACTTTTAGTTTTTCAGACAAGCAAAAAACCCTATCTTTAGAAAATAATATTAAAACAAATGAAGACAGATAAACGTTCTTGCAGAAACTTGTAGTTTCCTATGCCATCTCCTTAAAATAAACACAAACCAGTTCACTATCTTCACAAACCTCTCAGACCACTATTGTCTAAAAACTTCAGAATGCATGAAATGCAAGTCTTAGCTGTCAGTCAAAAGAACATTTAGATCTCACATAATAAAAGCTACAGCATAGCTTATAATGGCACAAATCTACCCACACATAAATACTACTTTATCCTTTAGCTAGGTGAAAAGTCAGAAGGTTTGCAACACTTTAACTTGAATGTAGTCATTAAAAGCCAACAAGTGATTCAAGTATGGTTGTATGAAGGCAGGCAGTTAAAGGCTCAAATATTACTGTAAAATTGAAAACATAAAGGCTTCAAAGGTTGTGCTTCTCCATCTTTCATTTACATGCCTAGACAGTGGGATATCACCGCAGAAAACACAGTTATCATATATGGTTTCCATAGAAGACAGTAAGTAAATGTTCAGAAAGTACAAAAGGTGTCAAGATCCATAATTTGCTTCATCAAATGCTTTTCTAGCTTGTTTCAATTCTTCATTCATGGTAAGTAAGTCTTTAACCCTAGCAAACTTCCTTGGATCTTTTCGAATCAAGAAGACAGTATCTTCCACTTGCACTCGACCTTGTCTTCTGATTGACATTGCCTTGTGAGTCTGTAATCCTAGCTATTCAGGAGGCAGAATCAAGAGAATTGAGGTTCAAGGACAGTCTGAGCAAATTGTTCTCGAGATACTATCTTGAAAATACCCAACACTAAAAAGGGCTGGGGGAACAGCCCAAGTGGTAGAACAGATGTCTAACAAGTGTGACCCCTGAGTTCAAACCCCAGTACATTTCAGTGATGAATTCTATAACAAGGTTTTCAAGAATATCCACTGACTCAGTGTAAGGATTTGTTATCCCCAAATCCATACATCATACACCGTAATTCTTTAGAAAAAAAGTATTTTTCTTTTACCCTGTCCACCTTCTGCACCTCCTCCAATTTCTTCAATTTCCTCCTCAAAGGTAGGGTCTTCTTCCTCATCAGCCATCCCAACTGCCCCGAAATTAAAAAGCTTCTGCACAACAAAAGAAATGGTATCTAAATTCAAGAGCCCACCCAGAGTGGGAGAAAATCTTTGTGAGCTATACATCAGACAAAGGAATAATAACCAGAATATACAGGGACCTCAAAAAACTAAAGTCCCCACAAATTAATGAACCAATAAAGAAGTAGGAAACTGAACTAAACAGAACTTTTTTAAAGGAAGAAGTTCAAATGGCCAAAAAACACATGAAAAAATGCCCACCATCCCTGGCCATAAAGGAAATGCGAATCAAAGCCAAACTAAGATTCCACCTCACTCCTCTTAGAATAGCTATCAAGAACACCACCAACAACAAATGTTGCTGAGGATACGGGGAAAAACGAACCCTCACACACTGCTAGTGGAAATGTAAGCTAGTGTAACTGCTTTGGAAAACAATATGAAGGTTTGTTAAAAAACTAAACATATTTCTGCCATATGATCCAGTACTACCACTCCTAGGGATATACCCAAAGGAATGTGACTCAGGTTATTACAAAGGTACCTGCACACTCATGTTTACTGCATTACTATTCACAATAGCCAAGCTATGGAAACAGCCAAGATGCCCCACTACTGACAAACGGATTAAGAAAATGTAGTATTTATAAACAATGGAATTTTATTCAGCCACAAAGAAGAATAAAATTTTGTCATTTGCAAGTAAATGGATGGAACTGGAGAACATCATCTTAAGCAAAGTTAGTCAGGCTCAGGAGGCCAAAAATAGCATGTTCTCCCTCATATGCGAATTATAGACCTAAAACAAATGCAGTAATAGTACTGGACATGAGTCACACACTAAGGGGAGAACATGCACTGGAGGAATAGGGAAAGGGAAGCAAACCTAAAACTTGAATGTGGTTGATGTGCTCACTGTAGAGGAGCAAATATAGTAATCTTACACTGGCCGAGGCCACTGTGGGAAGGGGACTAGGAAGTATTGAAGAGGTCTGGTGGAGATGAACCAATATGGTTTGTAATACTCACGTGCATGGAAGCAATGCTAAGACTCTCTCTGAATAGCTATCTTTATCTCAAACCAGCAAAAACGCTATGTCTTTCTTATTATCTCTTATGTTTTCTCTTCGACAAAATCAGAGAACAAGAGGGCAGAACGGGTTCTGCCCCAAAGCAGGGAAGGGAGGGCAAACTATGCATACACATGTTAGTAAATGTAAAAATAAGAATATTTTATTTTATTTTTCTTATAAAAATAAGAAATAATATTGGCAAAATCATATTGCAAATGTTAGGACCAGCCAAGCAAAACAGTGATCACTGTTTTGTTACAAAGGAATCATAAGGACCTAGAGAGTTGAAGTGATGGCCACAAAATCCTCACAGTGACCAAAATTTTTAGAGCAGCAACTCCCAAAACTTCCAGACTAATCCTTAGTCTGCTGAACTCATACTGTCTTGCGTGTTACTTTCCTATTTACAATCACTGATACTGGTATTATAGCAGTAAGGCTTTTTTTTTAGATGAAGTTATGAACATTAAATAAATCCTAGATTGGTCCCAAAACACAACAACAAAAAAAAGGAACTAGAAAAGCATAAATGAAATCTAAAGTTTAGTTAATATTGCACAAATAAAAAACTTGAGTTTTTACAAATATTCCACAGTTATATATTAGAAGTGGCAGCATGAAGAGCATATGGAATTCTTTACTACATTTACAACTTTTGTACAAATCTAAAATTATTGCCAAATGAATAATTACAATGAAGTTATTGAAAAAGAAATTGTCTAAATTCTACACAAATCTTAAATGACCCAAATCATTCTAATGAGATACCTTCTAAATTCTAAACAAAATTACTAATAAAGATATTTAATTGTTGCAACTGATAGAAAACATAAGTATATTATAATTAATTAATCCATATTTATGCCATTATTCCTTCAACAAATTCTTATTTACTACCATTGGACTAAGTATTTTTTTATAACCTGAAATATTAGTAGTTTAAATGATTACAGATGTCTTTACTTTGAATCCGCTTTAATATATTGTTTTCCACAGTTACGATTCGATATTGAGTCTTTAAGAACAAAATTCTCAAGTGAAATGCAACATCCTTTCATTATGCAAATATCTTCTGGAAACCCATAAGGCAAAAATGAAGAAAACCTCATTTAATAAGCTTTCTTTTTAGGTTTCACCTCTGCATGAAGCTTCTAAAAAAAAAAAAATCACTATCTTTTAATTTAATAAATTCATTTAAAAAATCTGATAGCTCTCTCTTCTGCTATTCATTTTATCTATCCATGCCTTTTATTTCCCAAACTTTAGTTACAATTTGATCAGACTGAAAGGAAAAGAAACACTGAAGGAATGGTCAGTACATGTATATATCATTATTTCAAACACCAAAGCAAATGAAGGAAATACCAAGGAAGGTAGATATACAGGATAAATAAAAGTAAAAGGAGTAATATTTCCTTAAGTGAAAAATAAAATTTAAGGCTAACATGACATGGGTTTTCCAAACTATGTAAAAGAACAAGAATACAATATGAAATAACTAAGAACCTCTCATTTAATATGACCAAAGTCTTTAAGATAAAAAAGTTTATAGTGGAATCTAATTCCTTTGTGGTAAAATGGGGAAAAAAATGGATGTACTTTGGAGTCAAACTGACTTATGTTCAAATTCTGATTTTGTTACTTATGATGTGAGTTATGACAAATAGTCTTTTTTTATGACCCTTAGTTTCTTATTGCATTAAGACACAGAACTATTTACCTTGCTAGATGTACCAAGCAAAGTACCTATTGTTTTTAATATTCTTGATAGTATTATTAAAATAAAATTTACATGGCTTTATGGTTAACTATTTACTGAAACAGATGGAATAAAAGTATTTCTAGGAAATGCATCCAATTTGAAAATTAGGGAAGAAAACGCAAGCCTTGACGGGATTATCTGAATATTCTTAAGGCAGAAGGGCCATAGGCAATATAAAGAAGGAAACTGGAATGGGGATAGAAAAGTGAATTGGTGGTGTATGCTAAAGACAATTTCCTGTATTCTGCTAAGCTACAGAGCCTTCAGACAACAAAGTCATCTTCCCTGCCCCCTCTCAAACTTTACTCCCAAATTATAACTTAAAGTTGATTTCATATCATAAGAAAAAGCAGTTTAAAACTGCTAATTTAGCAATCTAATGCACAATTTCTGATAATCTACTCATAAAATCATCTGCCCAGGTCCCACGATTTCAATCATCCATCCAATTTCTCAGCCTGATGATAAATCCCACCAGCCCCAAAGCAGACAAAAATTGGAAAATAACAACTTACTAAATCTTCCAGATTGGAAAGTTGTGAAAATCCCTCTGGTATGCAAGTTAATTCATTATGCTGGAGATACAGAGCCTTCATATTTTTTAGATTTGTAATTTCTTCAGGGAGCATTTTCAGTTTGTTGTGGCTATTGGTTGATAATATAAATGTTAAATAATTTGGCACACGAGAAATTTTTTAACAAAGGCATTTTTGCTAACTACATAGACTCACATAAAAATGAAATGTTTACTCATTTAATTAGTTATCAAAATTCACATCCAAAAAATATACATTCATTAAAAAAAGGTAGTAAAAAGTAAGCAAATGAGAATTTCAAAGAACAAAGGGTTTTTAACTAAATATAAATAATTCATAAAACTTTGCTTGCTTATAATCAACTCTTAGTTTTACATGTAACATGAAAGTACTGAATTATTAATTTTTTATACTGTACCTGACAGAGAATTTTGACAAAAATATGTTTACACACATGCTACAATGGATTTGTATCTCATATTAAGGTTAGGCTTTAAACTTAACATTCAAGACAGAAATAGCTATTTCTGGTTGAGGTCCTGACAAGTCATGATAAAAGTAGTAATACACTCGGTACTTGGTTTTAATGTTTCATCTGAGCCCTTCTGTAAAGACATTCGGTTTATTGATTTAGAAGTCTGAAATCATTGCAGATAATACACTAGTAAATACTTAAGAGATGAATGAACAAGTTCCGAAGTTCATCACAACTTATTTATTCATTTATGAATTCCACTCTGTATTCATGCCAGAATTACTTCACACATAACAAGGGAAAAATAACACAACCCTAAATCACATTAAAATAAAACTAGATGGAACAAAAGTCAAAATGTTTTCTAAAATAAGAACAAACAAAACTGTTGAAAGTCTATAACTATCACAGGCTACTTAGCCTAAATCTGGGTATATTCAATAGGGAGCTATTTGCAAAGGGATGTAATTCCAGCCATATGTTTCCTCCAATCTCCTCTTATGTAATTACTCCACTCAAGATTTCTACTCTTTAAGTGTTGGAATCTAAAGTAAAGGCGATGTCAACTCCATACCTACTCCTTCTCTTCCTCTCAATTTTCCTCACTTTGTCTTTGGAGGTCACATTGATGCCTTTGACTTATAAGGAGAAGGAGCTTTGATGTAAGTTCTAAACAATAAGCACTTTTTTGTATGTAGCATTTTTTCTGATTTATGGTGATTTTTTTTCACCAAATTCAAACTGTTATTTTGGGGCCTATTTTTCTTCAAACCAATTAACTTACAACCAGAAAACACACTTGGGAATGTTATGTTAAATGGATCTTTAACCATTTCTCTTTTATAAACCAGTTTTTCAAACTACTCTGTAAGTACTTTTTGTTTCTTCTCCAAAATGAAACCTTCCCTAATTTCCTTTCTGTTAATCTGTGTCTATATAATATAGATAAGGCAAAGATATTTTTTCTTAGAAATCTGAGTATGTATTGGGGTAACACAGCTATAGGCTTAGCTTAGCCTTAGCCACCCAGCCTCCCATATACCTAGCAATGGTAGTAGCAGAAATATATTCATGGAAACCCAAGGGTTCTTGGAAAAATTTAAGAACAGGTTAATAGTAAAAATCATGATGGCTGGGGGGATAGCTCAGTGGCAGAGTGCTTGCCTAGCACGTGCGAAGCCCTGAGTTTGATACCAGGCACCACAAAAAAACAAAAGACATTAAAACTCTTCATCATTACAGAAAGAACTGTTTAAAATCTCTTCCTTACTGTTTAAACTTAGATATCTTTTAAAATATCAAGGGTAACTTTAAAACTTGAGATGTCAAGAAAGAGGTTTTCTAAAATAAGAACCACTATAAGTCATCTCATAAAAAACAAAGCAAAAATAAAGATTTTTTTAAAAATCAGCTAGTCTTAAATTCATAAAATCAAAAAGGAGGGTTGAAGATGTGGCTAAAGTGATAGAGTGCCTGCTTTGCAAGCTCAAAGCCCTGAGTTCAAATGCCTGTCCCACCCAAAAAAAAAAAAAAAGGTGTAACAAATTCTAAAACCAAACACAAAGACAAATAATCTGCTAGGTACTGTAGGGAACATCTATAACCCCAGGTTGGGAGGCTGAGGTAGGAATATCACTTCAGCACAGCAGTGTGGAGCCAGCCTGGGCAACACAGCAAGACTCCATCTCTCAAAAAAAACCACAAATAATCTAAATAATCTAAAAATTAAAATATAAAATTCTTATTCTCCTTTAACTACTTTCTGAGATAAGACAAAAATATTTTCACTTTTTTGGAGTTGAGAATTACATCCAGGGCCTTGCAGAGGCTAAAAACATACTACCACTAAGTCAATACCCCAACCCAATGATATTTTCTAATGTTAGAAAAAAATTTTGGAGTCTCCTGCTCTCAACTCTCTGGGTGTTCCTTTCTCTCATTCTCTTTCTCCCTGCTTTACTAAATAAATTCTTGCCAAACTTCTAAAAAATAAATAAATTTTTAAAGAATATTAGATTCATGCCCATTGTAATTATATTAGAAATAAACTTAAATTTCACCTGACATTAAGCCTCTGAAGATTTTCTAGTTCTCTTATAGCAGAAGGAAGGGATGTCAGCTGATTATCATGTATCTAAAATTATTAAAAGACAAAGTCAAAATTTTAGTCTTAAATTAACAAAATTTGAGCTTTGTAATTATACAAAATTATTCACTAATAATCCCATTCTTCTAATTCAGTAGTGATGACTGGTAGTAATTTGTTCTATGTGCAGAAGAAGAAAAAGTTTCAAACTAATCAAACTATTGTTCTGAAATCAGGAAGTAACAAGTTATCAATTTTATATATTACCAAAACAAAAACACACTATAAAAGTTCATTTCATTGAGTACAGTTTCAATTTCAAGCAAGAGGTAAGAGGGTTAGCCCTCAAATGGTATTATTTATGTATACATATACAAAAATTATATAAGAAGGGAGAAGAGAATCTCTCATGTCCTCGCAGAATCATACTGTTTTTAAGGTAAAAGGAACCTTAGAGGGCTGGGGGACATGGCGCAAGTGGTGGAACCTATCTATATCTAACATTTTCACACATGAATTGGAGAATTGTTGATGTTGCACAGTAAAGTATTCCAGAAGCCTATGGGTTCAGAAATAAACTACTCATGCTTCACTTTACACATGGTAATGACAACTAGAGCCAAAAGACATATTCCCTTAATAAAAACACAAAAATTTAAGTTCAAATGAATGAGATTAAAAGCAAGTTACAAGACACACAACAATGACAAATAAAAACCCAAAAATTATCTTAAGTAATACACTTGCTTTAGTATCTAGAATAATGGTGATAAAAATAATTATAAAAAAAAGAGATGAGAAGAAGCAACCACTTGTTAGTGATTCTGTTTGCATGAACTAGCTCAATTTTAAGAATAATTTACGGAGTAGTATCATGTTTCCATGTTGCTAGACATGGAAACCAAGACACAAAAGGTAACTTTCCCAAAGTCACCCAGCAATTAAGTGGCAGTCACAATTAGAACCTGGTGTTCTGCACTATTAATTGTTATGCTATGCCTGACATAGTTTTATTTATTCTTACAGTCTATCAACTCAATATGAAAGGTTTTCTGCTTACCAAAGCCTAAACTTAGCTTTGGAATCTCTTCAACTAAAATCCATAATTATAGTCAACTTACATCAAGAACAGTCAGTGCAGGCAAGAGTCGAAGGTCATCTGCAAGTGACTGAAGTTTGTTGTTTGATATGATTAGTTTGGTCAGATCCGTCTGCTCCCACCATCGTTCAGTAGCATTGAATGAAAGATTCTGATTAGCTTCTTCAGGAATATCCACATTTATTCTCCAAACACACTGAGGCACTATTTCCAACACCACCACAGAGGAGTTAAAAAAAAAAAAGAAAGAAAGAAAGAGAAGAGAGAGATGAAAACCTGAAGTGGCTACAAAGTGATGTACTTTTGTAATAGCTATTCAGTTTATCTACTGAAAACAATTTCTGAAACAAAAAAATTACAATGAGTCAAACAGCAATAAATGGTAACTACAGTGAATGATTAATGTGTATTTTAAACTAAATCGATCTCAGTACTAACCTCATTCAACTATGTATTAGGTATATAACATAGTCTGGATAACGCCTTTTTAGTAGATATATAAAATGAATAAAGAATGGAGAGCCTGGCAGATTGGTGCATACACATAATCCCAGCTACTGGGGAGGTGAGGTGGAGATAGGAGGTGGACTCTTGATCATGGTCCAAGAGTCCATGCAAAAGAGCAAGACGCTCCCTGAAAATCAAACTAAAAATCCAAAAGGACTGGGGACATGGCTCTAGTGTAAAAGTGCTTGGCTGAACAAGCATGAAGCCCTGACTTCAATACCCAGTACTGAGAATAAGAATGAACTCTACCATCATGCTATCAGAACAAGAGAGAAAGCTTTGAAATCAGTAGTTACATATAATGTTATAACTTCATAAAAGAAATACATACTAAGGCTCAGAATGGGCTATTGGTAATAGTAGTAGTAGTAATAGCAGGAGAAATAGTAATGATAATAGTAATAACAGATACTAATACCAGGGAATGTTCTAACATACTAACTCATTTAAATTTCATAAAAGGCTGGGGGTATAGCTCAGTGGTAAAGAACTTGATAAGTATCCATGAACATCAGCAGTGCAAGGCAAAACAAAATAAAATCCAAACCCTAGTAACAACTCGGTGAGGTAGGCACTAGTACTATCCCCATTTTACAGATGAAAAAAACGGGAAACAAAGAGAAGGTATAATTTACCCAAGGTCCAATAGTTGGTATCAGGGATGTGACTTGAACTCTGGCATAGGTATAATGCTGATCTTTCCATTAATAATTGGAAGAAATATTTTATTGTGGAAGCTACTCTCTATTTTACCAAACATACACTTTTATTTTTTTGCCTGCCACACAAAATTGTATCACTCTATCATAAAAAAATGACAATTCCCATAATATAGCAAATAAGACTAAACAAACTGAATAGGGCAAGTCCAAGCTGTCACTTTAACACTTGAAGCTCCAGAAAGTAGCTTGTGATAGTAGAAAAGTATCTGGCAAATATTTTAAAGAAAGTCCTTCAATCCTTGATAAGTACAGACCTACACACACGAGCAATGTAGAACTCTGAGCTGAGATTAATCAAGGTAATGCTCTACTTTCATTATCATTTAAAAACCATTAGAGATTAAATGGAAAAATTAAAGTTTCAAGTTCAGGACAATGAAGTACAGTTCAGAAGGATAAATATGATACAACAGTGTTAACAGAAGCAAAGCAAACCCTCAGGTATCTATGAGACTTAAACTCAATCCAAAATGAGATACTGTCAAGCATACTGGCTCATGCCTATAATTTCAGGTATTTGAGAAGTGGAGATCAGGAGGATATCGATTTTAGGCCAGCAGGACAAAAAAGTTAGTAAGACATCCCCCCCCATCTCAACCAATAAACTGGCATGGACACAGCTATCAGTAATCCCAGCTACATGGGAGGCATGGGATCATGGTTCCAGGCTGGCCTGGGCAAAAATGCAAAACCCTATCTGAAAAGTAACCAAAGCCAAAAGAGCTGGAGGCATGGTTCAAGTGGTAGAGTGCTTGCCTAGCAAACACAAATTCAAATCTCAGTAACAGCAAAAAAAGAATAAATTAAAAGAATCCTCTCTTGCCCCTTCCCTTTAATTAGGTATTATCTGCTTCTCTACTCTTCTCCAGCAAATATGAATCCACTCAATTTTCTGTTTGCATATGGAGGTTTATTTTTAAAGCAAAGCAAAATAAAAACAAAAAATACTTGACTCTTCCCAACTGTGTTGAAGAAAGCATTATAAATCTTATTACTGTTATTATTTTGATTTGTAGCTATTGATGGTTAAATGGGAATGAGAAACATAAATCAGCCACCAAATAGCAGGTGAACTTACACCATCACGTTAACCTACTAATCTATACAATTTTTGTATTTTCATGTAATAATTAAAAAATAAAATAATGGCATAAAACTGTAATTCAGCACTCAGGAGGCTGAGGAAGGCAGATCACAAGTTCAAGGCCAGACATTTAGAAAAGAGGTGATATTAATTACACAAAAAGTAGAGGAAAGAAAAATTCCTATTTTATAAAGTCATTATACAAAATCAAAAACATCAAATGGAGAAAACAAACAACAAAACCACAGGCCAATATCCCTAATGATTATAGACTCCAAATTTCTTAATAAATTCACCAACTTTACATAAAAAGAATAATATTCACAATCAAGTGAGAATTATCTTAATGCAAGGCTGGGTTCACTTTCAAATATCAATACAATCTATTTACAGAAAAAAACAGTATATATCACTGTCAATAAATGCAAAAAAAGCATCTGACAAAATTCAACAATAAACACTCAGAAAACTAGAAATTTAAGGGAACACCTTCAACCTAATGAAGGACATCTGTGAAAAACCTACAATTAAATCACACTTAAATAGTGTAAGATTCAGCGCTTTCTCTCTAAAATAGTGTACAGCACAAGGCAAGGATATTTATTTTCACTACTGCAATACTTTACTAGAAGTAATGACCAATGTAGTAGAATAAGAAAAAGAAAGAAAAGGCATTCACTGTAAAGAAAAAAAGTAAAACTGTGCCAGTTAACAAAAGCCAGGTGTGGTGGTAGGAATTTATAATCTCAGCTCTCAGGAGGCTGAGCCAGTAGGCTTTTAAGTCTGAGGTCTGCCTGGACTACATGATGAGACATAGTCAATAAGCACATTCCAAAACATCACTTAGCATTTGAGATTATTCATTCACTTACATACTGTTTTCACGATAGATCAGGGAAAATGAGACATGGGAAATAGCAGCCTGGAACTCACAGGTAAACATTATACTGCTGAATAGCTTGATTAAAAGCGCACAGGCATTATTTTCTTTGCTTTTGAGCCTTACACTTCCACAATAGGCGGCAACATTTACTTTTTTAAAAAAGGGAAAAAGAGCAGCTCTTTCCCTTTGATTGTGCCCACTTGGCCAAATAATTAGTGGACCATAGGAACTTAGCAAGGATATCTTAAAACACTTATCCTAGGGGAAAAACACTTGGGAAAATGAATCCTCTGAGCACAGAAGGTGTTTACAGACAAAAATATTTATCGTAATGACCCAAATTCAATAAGCGGACCAACCTTGATCCAATTGCTAAAACAATGTAACAGCAAAAAAAATTGACTAGATATACCAGGCGTCAACAAAAGGAGAGCAGTTATCCTAAGGTGAATTTGAGACAAACCCCCAACTTATTTTTTCACCATAAAAGCATACAGCGCAGCATACAGTGCACCTGTTATCAGATGTGTCCACACCGAGGTCTGAGTTGTGTACTACCTTTCTATCTGTCCTTTGCTTTACTAATAAACTTTCTTGGTATCTACTGATGTCTCCTAAAACTCTTTTTTTCCGACAACCTCACGAACTCGGTACCCAAGGAGGGCCTGGCGAAGGCCTCCGCCCTTTTACAGACCTCCTCCCTCACGGATTCTGGTAACAGCTCAAATTCATACACTGGGCGGCATGCGTTCGGATTCTCAATTTCGAAAATACGTTCATTATTTCTTGTCATTAGGTCTTAGCTCTGTTGCATACAGAGGAGAGTCTCGGCAGGGAACAGTGCCATTCTTTCCAAGCTCACAAGGAGACAAGTAAAATATCACAGAATTTTAGCGTTGTTAAGGGAAGGAAGAAAACGAGTGTCAAACAGCTAATACCTAGCTAACTTTCACGTTATACTGCTTATTCCCTATTATGTGGGAACCCCAGAAAGCGCTCCGTTCAAATTTTGGCCATAGTCTCAACAAGGTCCCTTCAACAGAAAATGCCGAAGCCACCAGAAGACCAAGCCAGTGGGAAAATAGTAAGTGCGTGGTTCAGAGGCAGGGGCCCTGACTCGGATCCTCAGGCAAAGGAGACCAAAACCAGGCCAGAGGAAAGGCAGGCTGCCGGTGGCGGGGGGCTTTCTAATCGGACGCACAACCGGGTCGCAGTTCGGGAGGTCGTCTTACCTTCACTGAGGTTCCGACCCGACAGGTTTAACTGGCCGCTCTTCCTCGCCGCCTTCAACAGCCCCTGGGGCACGGAGGCAGCGCACTCCCTCTCAGCTCTGAAACCCGCACGGGGATCCCGTCCGGTTACACTCGGCAGGCGAGACATGTTCAAACGCTTCTTCTCGCAGGCGCAGCCCCGCTCGTGACGTTTAATCGCTGCGCCGTCGGTCGGCCCCGCCCTTTCCGCGGGCGGGCGCGCGCTCCGTGCGCGGGGCTTGTGCGCCGGGCCTTCGCTGTGAGCGGCGCGGCGCCTATGTCGTCACGCCAGCTCCCAGGGCCGGAGACCGAGGAGGCCGTTCCGTTGCCGGTGCCGGCCTAGCGTCCAGGAATTACTTGGCTCAAGTAAGTGCGTTTAACGGGCTTAGCAGAAGCTTTCGGGTTTATTGTTCGCCGTGTTGGTGCGACTGCGGCCTTCCCGGTGCTTCCTCGGAGGCGAGGATGTTGGAAAGAGTAACCCTGTGTTCTTCCCTCTTGTAGACGGAACGCGGGCCTTGACTAAAACTTGAGACCCGGGCGCGGCCTGCAGCTTCTCTGGACCCCGGCCTGTTTGTCGCCTGAGCTGGTGGCTGGTACCAGATCTCGGGCGTATGGAGGCAGACCCGATTTCCTGGTCTTCGGGCCTAGGCTCTTGACTCCTAGAATTAGTATACCTTTTGCCTTGTTGCGTTGAGTTTGGAGGTGATGTGAAATGGAAGGGCTGGCTACGTAGAAGAAGCTGCTTAAAATTTAAAAATGTCTTGCCTACCCTACCGTTTAGGGACACGAGTGGACAGTTTAACGGGAGCAAGTGGGGCGCAAGCCTTACTGTATCGTCCACAGCTCGGACTTGGGAGCCTCGCTTGTGCAAGTTCGGAGCTCACCAACTTACAAACTATGAAACTTGAGGTCTTTTGCTCGAGCGCTTTTGAAGATCATTTCTCTCTTCATTATAATTTAGGGGATAATAATCCCTGCCTTTTAAGGTTTTTAAAGTAAATTAGTGAAAATTAAACTTCAGATCTTGAGCTCTTGATGAGGAAAGGGACTCGAGTTCAGGATAGAAAAATTAAATTTTTGTTGCCTAAGTCTCAGCTTCTTGGCTGTTACAGTTTCCATCAGAAAATTTACAGTTTATGGACTCATTCAACAAGTATTATTAAGAATTCATACTGTGATGGGGGTGTAGCACAGTGGTGCCTAGCATATGCTAGACCTTGGGATGATCCCCAGCACCAGAGAAGCAAACAGACCAAAAAACCTCGCTTTCTGTGTCCTGCTGACCTGGTACTCGACTTTTGTTTTGTGTGAAGTGATTTTTGTCTTAAAAGATAGGCCGAGAGATACCCATCTTAAATCTCATCAAGCCAATTTGTCCTCAGACAAATTCTGCAGCACACACAATTCTATCTGTAAGAATTGCCACATGTAAAATTCGGGGTTTTTTAGCACTAATCCCCTCCCCCCCCCTTTTTTTTCTTAGTTTGTTAGAAACCTTTATGCTAAAAGGGACAGCAGAAAAGTAGTAGGAGTTAAGCTATAAGCAATGAAAGGTTGAATTTTGAAGCAAAAGGACTGTAGCAGTTTTGAGGCCCCAGGTCAGCTTGTCTCAACAATAAACATAATAACCACCTTATTGAACCCTTACTTAATGCCGTGCTCAGTGCTACCCAAACCTCTATTTGCTCTTATTTAACACAATGCTCAATTCTTCAGATGAAGAAATTGATGCTTTTTTAAAAGGAGTTAAAATGAAGTATAAATTTTTACAATATCAAGGCCTCTCTTTACAGTAGATTTTTCTTTAGTTCCACTTCTAAAAATAATAGCAAGGAATAATTTTCAATTCATTGTGCTGCTACTTGAAGTTAAGTATTTTATTATTGATGCTTGATAACATTGTGTTGACACGTTGTTTCTTTGGTATAAGAAGCATATCCTGTTTAATAACAAAGTAATTCCGAAAAACCCAAGTGGCCATATACTTGTAAACTTCAATAGGTAAAAACTGGTATGCATAAAAAAGTTGACTAATATATGTTTATTATGTTACAAGTATAGATTAAACAAGTGGTGAAAGTTATCTTTCTCAATTGGGAAAATTATGTTTTGTTTCTGATGGAAAGTAAAAGCTAACCAACTCAAATTGAGTTTTAGGAAAAAGTAGTTATAATTCTATATAATTATACTAGTGGAATTCACTCTATCAGCTGTATTTCTTTAAGAAAAATACATTAAAAATGAAAGTCCTGATTCTTCATCAAGTCATTTAATTAAGTAAAAGTATTTGCTTCTTAAAAGAAATAGATTTTAGGACTGGCAAAGTGGCTCCAGAGGTAGAGCCTAGCAAGCACAAGGCCTTTTAAGTTCATGCACCAGTACCAAACACAAATACACACACACAAAAAAATAGCACAGTGGCTCACACTTGTAGTCCCCACTACTTTGGAGGTGGAGATCAGAAAGATCAATGAATGAGGCCAGTTTAGGAAAAAGTTGAGGCCGCATCTGAACAAACAAGCCTGGTGTGGTGGTCACAGCTATAATCCCAGTTATATGGGAGGCATAGGTGGGAGGACTGCAGTCCGAGGCCAGCAATGCAAAAGCAGGTAACTTTTAAAAAGCAAAAAGGGCAGGGAGTCATTGACCGCAGTGGTAGAGCACTTGCTAACAAGTATCAAGCACCTGAGTGGACTTGAAATACATTATTAAAATAATATGAAAAGCTTATTTTTTATGTTCAGCTGGACACTACCGTACACCTGCCTTTTGTAACCAAAGTGTTTGGCTATAACATTATATTCATTTTACTTAAGTAATGTAAGGTTTAACTTCTCAAGCTTCTTTGCTAGGAAAGTGAAGAAACCAAAAATATTTTAAGCCTAAATATCATATCATCCGAAGAATGCTATTCTGCTTCATAATGGAAAGTAAGACTATTATCAAATTAAGATAAAGCAGTCTGTCCCTATCATTTAAATTGGAGTGAAGGAGGGGGTACTGGTGAGGCATTGGTTACATTGAGTCTAGCAATTGGCTTCAAATTCACCATCCTCCTGCCTCAGCCTCCAAAGTGCTGAGATTACAGTGGTTTTTGGATTTTTTTGTTTGTTTTATTTTGTGGTTACTGGAGTTTAAACCTGCACTTGGACAACCCCAAGGCCTTTTTCCTTTTTAGTTATTTTTCAGATAGGGTCTTGTGCTTTTGCCCAGGGCTGCTCTCAGACCACTGTCCTACCTATGCCTCCCACGTAGCTGGGATTACAGAGGTACACTACCAAGGGTCTTGCTAACCTTTTTTTTTTTTGCCCAGGCTGATCTCCAATCTAAATTCTCTGGAGTAGCTGGAATTACAAATGTGAGCCACTGAGCCCAACCCTATTAAAATTTAATAAAACATTTTCAAATGTGGCTATATTGCCATATGAACATTGCTGTATGTTATTTTCAAAGGCAAAAGCTACAATCAATAGGTTAATTTATAGAAAGTCTGAAATTGTACCAAGGGAAAATGAAATTAATTTCTACAGATTTCCTAAGCATGTTTGTTTAAAAAATATAATCAAGAGCAAAGGGAATTTGCTTTGCAGACATTTCTCTGAAGTTTCTTTTTATATAAAGTAACAGATGTATCCTGTTTTGAATCAGTATTATTTTTATTTTTCAGAATATTGCCAGCTGCTGTCTTACCTTAAAAGTTACTTATTGAGAGAACACTACTTGTCTTTAAAATTTTCAGTTTCTAATTTCACATCTGACCTTCAGGCTTATACCTGGCAATTTCTTTTTTTGCTGCTTGTTTGTGGCGGTGGAGATTGAAACCAAGGATTGGCACATACTAGGCAAACACTGTACCATTGAGCTATACATCTCCAGCCTGTTACTAACAGCTTTTAAACTAGTCAGTAGAAAACGTACTTTCCTGTTTCTTTGAAGGAAGGCAGTATATATTTTGCATGTTTATTTGTAGTATCTAATGTGACTTTGAACTGTGTTTTATTGTTGTGATTGGAGATTTGTGATAATTTTTTTTATGGAGAAAGTGCATTCAGTTATGTATTTGTATATCATTAGTATGTCCCCACTGCTTCTCTTCATACTTTTGAATGATGAAGCAGTTAAACTCTTCTAGGGAGGTTTAATATTTCATTCTAATGTTTGGTCTTAATCCCTCTCTACTTTTAATACAAAACTATTTTAGTCCTCCAGTTTTAGGAAAATAATATTTTTGATTCTCCTAATATAAAAAAGCCAGTGTTTTTCATGGCAGTGTTTTTCTCTTGAAGAAAAGTGAGGAACTAATTTTTTTTAATGTATATGCTAAATACTTTTCATTTTCTTTTTGTGCTGTTTAGTTTCTGCTGACAAAAAGGAATCTAAACCCAGGGTAGTGATAAACTAACATTGCTCATGTCATTTAAGAAAAAGTAGTGTAGCATTGAGATTTACTGTTATTCCAAAAATCTCCTGAAAATATTTCCTATTATTTCCAGTACTTATTGTTTCTAATATTTAATAGCTAAGATGAATAAGTTGCATAGCTTGAGGTATCAATTATAATAATAATTGATGAATGGCTATGAATTTGGGGGGTAAAATTGGTAAAGTAATACAGAGTAAAATTGGGGCACCACCTCATACAACATCCTCAAAATATCATTCTGTCTTTGTTTATATATAAAAACCAGTACAGTGTTTAAAAACCAGTTTGAATCAAGATGCACTGTTTTAAGATATGACTGCATATAATCCACTGCAAAAACTTTTATTCAAGTGGATTCAGCTTGCAACTTCATGTACAGAAAGAGACAGTAAATTCTTACTAATAGCAAATATTCTACATGAGCAAAGTTCCCCTACAATTTTATTAAGATGTGATACGGTCCCTGAGACTTTATCTGTAATGTCAACTTAATAAAAGGAAAGTGTGCATTGTAGCAATCAGAGATTGCATCTCATAATAGTATAATTCACATCTTTAATTTTGCCAGTGATGCTGTTTAATTATAAATACAACTGCAGTTTTTATCCATTGAAAAGATGAAGAAATAGAGAGTAGAAACCAACTTTTTGTGATAATAAAGAACATTTATGAGTTCTTGAGTGCTCATACTCAGCTTCATGTCCATAATATTTCTAATCTCAGAAATTTCAAATGATACCATTATCCC